ACGGGAGGCATGGAGGGAAACAGCAACGGTGATCTGTCCACAGAGGAACCTGAGACACAGGTGAAGATGATAGTGTGAGGATTTGCGACTCTTCTCTTCCCACAGGGCTGCGTGTCTAGGAGATTCTTGTCTGTAAAGACTTTGAGTGTTGTACATGGAAGACATACAATCAGTGTATCCTATTTCTCCATAATTCCGTTTGCTACAGTGTGAATAAACTTCAGAGTACTGAACAGAGTAGGGGCAGCAAAAAGCACATTAAGGGGATAAATGCAAGAGAAGGGACACGTATTTGAAAGTGATCCGAATACTAAAGACAACAATTTTAGTTCCAAAGATCAACTGCACGTGCAAGCGGGGAGATGAAAATGACGGGATTTTAAAGAATCATTAGCCTGAAAGAGCCTGGTGGTTTTCAACTGCCATGGTGTGAATTTTAAGTGGAATACATCCCATGTCAGCTTCATACGGTTGAGCTATAGTCCAGGAAGATTCAGAAAGGGTACCTGCTTTGCACCACCAAGGATCCATTTTCTTCTTATTTGAAAGATCTTATTAAACATACAAGAATGTTGACACATGCACGTGTTTCCAGAAGTGAGAATTGTTCCCTTGATAATGAAGTGTGAAGTGCTCCCCTTCCCTGGAGGAAGGGCATCGAACTGTTTCTCCCTTTCCACTTTCATGATGACTCTATCAAAGTAAATGTCTGCGTGCAGCTGGAAAGCAGAGAGATGGGCGCTGCTGCAGGTACCTGCTGAAAAGCCTGCCTCAATCTAGCCGCATGTGAAAAAAGACCACGCTTATCCAGCCGCTAAACGATTTGAATATAAATAAGCAACTTTTTCCGCCTGTCAGTTCCCTCAAGAATATTTAGGGCTGTCTCCTTTAATGAGTGCTCATTACAGATGAGTGCGAGTGAACACATTTAATCAGGGTAATACGGGGTAATGATCATGTGAATTTCTCCACACCGGGTCCTGTTCCATCTGTTCCAAGCCATTTGTCCATGTAAAACTGTCAACGTTTTGAGCCACTGACTGACAGGTGAGGTTGGACGTGTATGGTTTTCATCTCAGCGCCAGGAACTCTCTGATGTGTTCTTTGCACTAAAAGAAACCTCCTGAAAGACCCAAGGGGGCTCTTTTCAGGAGCTGCTTTTTAAAAATTTGTTTCATTGATCATTAAAATATTTAGCTCACTCTTACCTATGAAAACAATGCAGCCGATATCCATGGGTATCTTGATTGACACAGTAGTCTCCTAGGAGAGACTGAAATACCTGACCTTGTAGGCCTTTTCTGATAGGCAGCTCTCTGGTGATGAATGGGTCATTCAAATAGCAATCCCACAGTTTCTACCTGCCATTCACAGACACTCTTATTCTACCATCCCACGGTGTAAAGTATTTCCCTTCAATCAAACTTTGTAATGAGTGCTATACATTGAAGTTGAAGCAGCAAAAGCAAAGCCCTAGGATAAGACTCAAGTACCACCAATAAAATAAGATGTACTTTGAGGTCATGGTAAAGTGTTTGCCTTGCAAGTGTGAGGACCTGAATTCAATCCCCCAGAACCCAGGTAAATAAAGTTAGGTATGGTGGCAAATGCTCCCATTACCAGAGAGGTGGGGCCAGGCAGGTCTCTGGGGGCACACGAGAGAGCCAGCCTAGCAGAATCTATGTGTTTTATTCCATCAAGAGACCCTGTTTTAAAAAAATAAGGTTGCTGTGATCCTGAGAAGGTTGACCTCTGATTTCCATACAAACATGCACACATATGAACCTGTGCATGTGTGTGCACTCATGTGTGCACACACACACACCCCTTGTACCTACATACATATGCACCTGCACACATATACACATATACACTTTTATACACATACTCCTGCACATGCATGTGCATCTGCATACACATGCACATCTGTACATACATGAGCTCACAGATATAACAGAGAAGACATGGCTGTCTCAGACAAGCTGATGATATACTTTGTCCTGGGGTGAGATGCTTTTGACAGTCATGCTTGTTGAACAGAGAATGACAAACAGTGTAATAAAACTGTAGTTTAAGCCTCAGAATTGTGTTTTTACTCTACTGTCTCTGTTTCTCAGGCTGGTTCTAACAAGGTACAATGAACTATCTGAAAATCCAGTGGCTTCGACAGCAAGAGACAAATAGGGTAGGACAAGGTTGAGCCTTTGGAAGACTGAGTATCCCCTTTTTGGTTTTTCCTTCAGTGCTGATAGGTTACACTGTTGTTCTCGACTCAAACCTTCCATCTCTCTTCTCACTTGTGTGTCATGTGCTTTAGTGACCCAGTTTTCAATAGTGAACCCCGTGACCCAGACTGGAGGCATACCAGAGACTGACTAATGCTTTAAATGTCACTGCAATGCTAAAACAGACAAAGTGTTCTGTAGTATTGTACACCTGCTGTTCAGGAAGCCAGAGTTAGAAACAACCCTTGCAGAGTGACTTGTGTCTCTCCCTCTGCTATATAGTATGGTTCCACTTCACAAACCAAGAAATGAATGAATGAATGAATGAATGAATGAGTGCTGAGCATCATGGTGCATAGGACAGATGGGTCCTTCTTGCAATTGATGTGCCAGGTACAGTGTCAGAAAGCTTGAGTGAGAGAATGAGGAAGACCAGGTAATGGGTTTTTTTCAGAGATCTCGACTTCACCATTCCATAGGTGGACACTCCTGCATTTTCTGCTTTCCTGGATTTCAATATACAAAGTAAAAGTGATCTGCATTTAGGGTACTTCCTTTCAATCGAGGAAGAAGAACGAGTCTTGTGCCATCATTTTGCCCTATTTTGGTTCTGTGTGATGGTGTCCACTCCCAGACTGGCTCCCTTGACTGCTGCTGGAGGGCTTTCCTGTGGGTTCTCTCCATCTCACTGAGGATGAGGCAACCCTGAGTGTCCCTGTTCAAAACCCACAGAGCAGTTGTGTCACAAGGAGAGTGACTGTCATTACTGTTGTTCACCCTTCCTCTTCTAGTTCTCTGTAAATAGGATTCTGATGCCTTTCTGGTGCTGTAGGGTGAAGGAGCACATATACAGAACGACTAATGCCTTGTTGCAGGGTCTGGCGAGCCAACTGGGAAGTTTCAATTTTTCCAATGTTTGTAAACTGTCCTCACTTTTCAGTCTGCTGGTGACTTGTCTAAAGAACTTCACTTTTATGTCACATTAAACACAAGGTCACCTACTGTGCCTTTAGTATTATGACTTACGGTTTCCATCACTGTGAAGAGACATCATGACCACAGAAACTCTTATAAAGGAAAACATTCAACTGGGGCTGGTTTACAGTTCAGAGGTTTAGTCCATTATCATTATGGCAGGAACCAAGATGGCATGAAGGCAGACACGATGCTGGAGAAAGAGCTGAGAGTCCTACATCTGGATCCATAGCGGGAAGAAGAGAGAGAGCCACTGGGGGCTGGCTGAGTTTTTGAAATCTCAAAGCTCATGACCAGTGACACACTTCCTCCAGTAAGGCCACACCTAGTCCACATGTCCTAATCCTTTCAAATAATTCCACTCCCTACGAGCCTATGGGGGAGCATTTCCATTCAAAAACGAATGAAAACTGGACAGAAACTGCATTGTCCTTGATTTTGTTGGGACAATGGTTCTCAAAGAGGGTGATTTTGTCACCAGAGCCATTTGGTAATGTGGGGAGATGGTTTTGATTGTCACAAGCTGGAGACATGATGTGTGGGTAGCATCTGATAGGTAGTCAGGTCTGGGATAGTCATCCTACACTGATTGCACAGGACTCCCCTCCACCCACCAAATAAAGCAATTTTCCATTTCAAAATGTCAATATAGTTGAGGAAGAAACAAATACGGTTTAGCTCAACATGTGGCACATTATTAACAGTGAAATGCTAACTTGTTTCTCTCTAATCTGTGAGACAATCCCAGCAACACATGAATCATGTACTATTTCAGCTTTACTTGCTCCTATACTCCCAGATGTTGTATGGTTTTCACTGTTCTGGAAGAAAAACAGAGCATAGCTTTCAAGCCCCAGATTACCAGCAGATGGTGGCTAGTGAGTGGGTGCCTTCATTTTGTTATGCACAATCTTCCTTAGAATTTGCCCAGTGTCTGTGCATATGTGTAAACTGTATTACTGATCATTGTGTGTTGCGTGCTAATGTTGGGGGTGCTCATTTGTGTGGAAACCAGAGTTCAACCATTAGCCTTACTCCTCAAAGACACGGTTCACCTTGGTTTTATAAGACTTGGGTAGGTTCAGCTCAAGCGGTTCTGTTGGGAGAGCATTAGACTGATTTTGCCAGGTGGACTGACCAGCAAACCCAGATATCTGCCTGTTTTCTGCTTCCCTGATACTTGAAGGCAGGTAAGTATGTTACTGCCACAGCAGACTTTCCTGAAAACTCTGGCTTCTGGGGGATGGAACTTAGGTCCCCATGTTTGCACAGCGGGCACTTTACCAATGGAGCCATCTTCCTAGCACCTTAGCCTTGTCTTGTCATGTGTGGTTTATTATTTAACCACATACGAGGTGGTCCTGAGTAGCTGATTTTGCAGACTGGAGAACTGATCTTACTTACATTCCTACACCTATATCATCACTATGACAGAAGTGATTTGTTTTTTATGGTACTTGAGGATGCTTCATTAACATTAAGTAGAATCATAAGGAAGGAACTCCTCACTAACCAAGGTGTCTGGTTGCCCCATTTGTGTGTGTAACTTTGAAACCTAAGCAGACCTGAAAAATGCAAAACCTATCAGTAAGACACAATTTGTTTCTACAGTATCTCTTTCTCATTTGACTGTCTTTGAGTTGAGAAGGAAACAGTATGAACAAATGAGTTCCACGTTCCTCTTCCATTGCCTTCCTGGTTAGCATCATCTCCAAAGGGCTCTGGTCTATTTGAAAGAAAGCAGAGACTGTACAAAACTCTTCACATCATTTAAAGAAGCCATTAGTTTTCCTCTTTAAAATGCTGCAAGGTCATATGTTTTTCCTCTTTCTGGTCGAGGTGGTGCAGTTCACAGGGGTCCTGGCAAATGGCTTCATTATGGTTGTCAATGCCATTGACTTGATCACTCGGAGGAAAATGGCCCCGTTGGATCTGCTTCTTTCTTGCCTGGCAACTTCTCGGATCATTCTGCTGACGTGTGTCTTTTTTGGACAACTGGCTGTATTCTGCTTGATGAAATACTCTTTATTTACTGACTGCGTTGTCTTTGTCCTCTTTATAAATGAATTGAGTCTTTGGTTAGCCACATGGCTCAGTGTTTTCTATTGTGCTAAGATTGCTACCATCTCTCATCCATTCTTCTTGTGGCTGAAGATGAGGATATCTAGGTTGGTACCATGGCTGATACTGGGGTCTGTTTTCCATGCAGCTACTATTGCTCTGATTCATGGCAGAGAGACCGCAATGATTCCCAAACAAGTCTTTAAACACATTTTTTCTGAAAATGCAACTCAGGTCAGACAGATTCATGTCATGCCACTCTCTGTCTTTATCTTAGGGGTCACGCTGCCATCATTCATCTTCATTGTTGCTGTTCTGCTCTTGATATTTTCCCTGTGTAACCATTGCTGGCAGATGAGAAATATGGAGGGCACCAGGGAACCTAGCAGACATGGCCACATAGGTGCAATGCTGTCCATCCTATCGTTCTTCATCCTCTATTTCTCCCACTACCTGGTGGCTATTGTGGTCTTTGCTCATGGCTTACCGTTAGGAAATGTGAACTTTCTATTCTGCACTTTGGTAGTTGGAATATACCCCTCATTACACTCTGTCATCTTAATTTTAGGAAATCCTAAACTGAAACAGAATGCAAAAACATTCATTGTCCATTGCAAGTGTTGTCATTGTGTGAGAGCTTAGATCACTTTAAGGTTACTCAGTGACTTGCCACTGCCTGCAGCCCATCACTCAGCCAACAAAGCATCCTGCTCATAAGTGTATATAATATCATACTAATTATCCACTCTGACTTACTACTAGCTTTGTTAAAAATTAACTAGATTTTCAAATTGCGACCATCCTTCACTCAGTCTTCTAGTGGCTGAAGATAAGGATAACCAGGTTGGTATCATGGCTGATCCTGGGGTCTGTGCTCTATGTAACTATTATTGCTGCTGTACATAGAGTTAATTGATTATCAAAGCACAGCATGTGTTGGTGGATGACATTAAGGTCTGTATCCCAGTTCTGATATGGAAGCCTCATCTTGAAAGGTGATGTCATGGAGACACCATGTCAAATGAAGCAAGGGCCTTTCTGTATTAATTTTTTCAGTGCATATGAATCTGTAATTTTTCTCAAAGTGAAAATTTTAAAGAAGAAAAGCACAAGCTTGGACTACAATGCCAGAAGAACAGAATGCTAACATCCTATGTTGGTTGCCTAAACTCAGACACTGTCCCAGACTTGAATGAGTTGACTGGGTATTTCTTGATTACAAGAATATCTTTCCTGTTTTGTGTTTTGGAGTCACAGAAAGTAAAGCCACCTTTCTTCTTCTGGCCAGAAAGGAAGCTGTTGACAGCCAGGCCTTCCCAGTCCTTGGGAGCATGTTCACCTCCTCCAAGGGCAGAAAACATAGTGACACATGCCATTGACTGATGGGAAGACCTGGTGACACATCCCATTGACTGACAAGAAGGCTGATAGGCAGAGGAGGAATAGATGGACTTTTGAGGTAGAAGAGAATGGAGATGAGGAGGAGTTAGAGGAAGGAGCTTTCATTTCCTGTAATTGTACATGTTCAACAGACAATGGCTTGCAAAGTATTTTCATTTGCATTTGTGCACTCAACCTGGGGATCCTTTTGACTGATAGTAACAGTTTGATGTTCCCACATCACATGTCTTCCAAATGAAGCAACATCAGTAGGTGTGGGTGGGGCTCATGGTGACTCCATCTGCTTGAGTCATAGATACATTTTCTGTGAGGAAGATGACTTTGGCAACTGTGTGTGTGTGTGTGTTTGTGTGTGTGTGTGTGTGTGTGTGTGTGTGTGTACCAAAGTAACATGGTATTATGTATTTTCATACATGTTAATAGAGTAATTAATCAATCTGCTCCAATACGCTCCTTTGTTTACCCCTTTGTTTCCCTTCAATTTTTATGTCCTGTTTATTTCAATCTAGTTTCTATATATGAGAGAAAATGTGACATTTTGTGTTTCTGAGTTTGTTTTGGCTAACACAGTGATCTGTAGTTCTAGCCAATCACCTGTCATTTACTCTTCTTGATGGTCTCACGAACACTAGACTGTGTGAATTGCATTTATACCACATTCCCTTTGCCCACTGTCAATTGGTTCTTAGCTCTTGTGAACAGTTGTACTCAGACCCCAGATTCTGACTGTATTACAACAACTCCTGCTATACTAATGCTAGTTTTAATAAGATGACTTTTAAGATACGACTGTGATGCTAATAATAGCAAGAGGTATGAGAAATCAATAGAATAGTAATTAAGCATTCTGAAAATATTTCACTGTCTACTTTTCTCCCAAACTCTCCTCTGATTATTTTGTTTCTGGCATCATAGAGGAAACTATTGCTCAAATTTAGAAATGAAACCTTCACTGGCTTTATGCCTCAGAAGGCTTTTTGTCTAATTTGCCAGTCCCCCACACTGTCTATCCTTTACTTGCCTCATGCTTCACGAGCTGGACTTGCTGTGGTTTGGAGACAGTTTTTGTATTAGATCCTTGGGTCCCTGTGTTGAAACTCCATTCCAGATGTTGGAAACCTCACTAACTATGGAACTCAAGCTATGTAGAGGTGTCACCTTTGTGGGGTGATTGTGATGAGACAAGGTTGTCTCACTATAGCCTCATGCTTGGTTTCCGGTGAATTCATCAGAAGGAGAGAGAGCAGAGGAGACTCGTGTATGCACACTTCCTCTTGCCCCCTATGAGATGCAGTGCATTGCTCCCAGACATTGCTATAAAAAAAAGCCACTGTAAGGTGTCACACCTGACACTGAACCCATACCAAAGAATTCAGGTGAACCTCTTATTTTTTGGGTAAGGTACATATAAGTGGGCCATGGCATAGTATTATTGGCAATGGGAAATGTACTAAGACAGGGCTGAACACTGCGGCTCCTAGGAACTGTGGTCTCACGATCTCCTACATGGTCCATCAGGACAAATTGCAAGTGTATTACACCATTGTCATTTCCAGCTAACTGTGGGCTAGGATGAAGACTCCTTTTGAAAAGGGACCAGCAGCCAGACATTAGCATTTAATGATTACCCTTGGACTTGAGACTAATGATTTCTTGAAGCTAAAGGCCAGCATCCAGTCCTCTGGACAGTTCAAAGGTTACATCCACTTGAATGTTTATAATCTTATTTCACATGTTAAAATTTCTTATATCAGGCTTGGGTAATAGTGCCTTCAAAAATTTGCTCACATGTAGTTATACCTCTTTTAAGTGAGACAAGACGAGTCATCAGAAATATGCATGAAAGTAAGAGAACTTCCCACTGTGTAAACTGACTTTGGTAGTCAGTGGGATCACAGATGTTTCAGACAGATGGCACCATATTGGAGACAAATTCAAATGGACAAGGCAGGGAGAGTCACATTGTTTAAATGGTGTTCCTAGGAAATGAGTCAGAGTCTGTTTTTATGCATTGTATTAACATTAGGGGTGTGTTCCTATTATTATTACTAATTATTAGTATTTGCCCCCTCATAACTGTAGACTTATTAGGAAACTTCACACTATAGAAATGTATGTCCCAGGAAGAAACACAATGATAAGCTGTGGTGAGTTGATGGTAGTTCATACCAACCCAGGGGCATCTAACTCACTGCCTTCTTGACATACACGTGGTCATCCCCTTCTTGATGTATTAAACCATCTGATACATCCCACACACACCTTTTCAGTATTAAATAATGTTTGCTTTTGAGATGTAAAGTTAATGTTTGGATTTGTGGCTGTGACATCTGGAGCTACTTAATCATTTTTGGCTGAGCATCAGAAGTTGGTGATTTCATCCTTTGGTTTAAAGGACATTCACTGATGCATAGGCTTCCTTTTATTCTGTGTTGTATTTGTTTCTATCTTAAACGTTTCATAGCATTGAATCAGTTAGCTGCTACAGAACAGTGACAGCATGCCTATCTTTCAACTGAAGGTTCCTTTAATTTTCAGTACAACTTTTCTGAGAAAAAGAGATCCATTGCAACTATTTCTGTGTTTGAGGATACTATGGACCTCCTTAACAGAGTGTGTTAACTTCTCTTAGCTAAACTTTCCACCAGTTTAGGGACACACACACACACACACAAACACACACACACACACACACACACACACGAGGGTGATGTATGACAGGGTAGAGTGGGAACAGGCAGGGACAAAGTCTGGTAGTCATACTGAACTTGGCTCATGATGAGGAACACTCACTGAACAAGCCAAGTTGTTGAACTGTGGGAAATGCTCTATTCCTGAAAGAACAGGCAGGCAGAAAATGATGCAGGACCCAGGGAAGTAGCTGCAAATGGACCAGGTCCTCATGACTGCAGAGATGAATGACTCTGGCCCTAGCCCTGCCCATTTGGACAACAGATGTGCTTCTAAGTCTTCCTTCACTTGAAGCCCCACATACTGGTTTGAGAAACACTGTCCAGATCAGTTATTGATCTGAAGCTCAGTTTCTTGATAAATTCTCTAGAATATTCATCAGTGCTATTCTAAAAAAAAGAGGATGAGATTTCTGAAATGAAGACTCACACTTTGATCACAAGGTATGAGGTCATCAGTGATGTTTCTTAGGGACTAGATCCAGACAACCAGCTATCTGGGATGAGGCAACCTTGGATATGACATGATATGGTGTAGTTTCATTAGTTTATAGATGAGCCAAACCACTGAGTTTATAGTTCATAGAAATGACTCCCCATGCTGATCTGGGTCACTATGGCAGCGTCTGCAAAGCTTATAAGCAAGTAAGTTTCAGTTTCTCCATCTGTAAAATGTGGAGAAGAATGAAGATAGATCAAGTGTAACAAACACTCAGACCCACTGATCACAGACAACATCGCTGCTAAGAATTGGGAACTGTCATAAAGACTAAGAGCAGAATGATGGTCAAAATGCAGGGACAAATTCATGGCTTCTTATTCTTCAGTTGTAATTGTTATACATGCATGTACAGATGTTTATTAACGCAACCTAGTGAGTTCACTTAATATGGCTTGTATGAGTTAGGGGTAACCTTGTGAGATTGGCTAGGCAATAAGGAAAGATGTGCCTGGAGGAGAATTGTTCTCTCTCCCCCCACTCCCCTCTCACTCCCTCCTTACTCACTCTGTCTCTCAGAAACCATCAACTGCCTGAGGCTCTTCTTCTAGGGGTGACAATTATAATTAAAGTATAAGATACCATTAATTTGAGAAGGAGTAGGAGGGACATAGAAGGAAATGGAAAGAGGAGAAGGAGGAGGGGAATGATGTAAATACAGTATTAATATATAAAATTCTCCCAATGTGGGAACAACTCAAGTGCCCATCAACAAAGGAGGGGAGCAAACAGCATGTGGTATGTCCATCCTCTGGAACAGTAGTAAGTATTTTATTAAGGGATACAAACATACACTACAACAGGGATGAACCTTGAAGAGATTTGCGAAGTTAAAGAAGACAGATACTGTACAATCACACATATATGATGTTCTTAGAACATGGAAATCCATGCAGACAAGGTAGAGGGTAGCAGGTGCTAAAGTGGGAGAGAAAATGGGGAGCCAGTGATTCATGGACAGAGTCGCTATAGGAAACGAGAACTTGAAGAAATTGATGGCATATGATTGCACAGTATCATGAACGTACTTAATATCACTTATTTGTTAGTCG